AAGTGGTATGCAACCACAAAAGTGGTCTCTCGGACCACAGTCACATTAAATGTGGTCTCCAAGGGAAAGAAATGGTCTCCTACCCTTGTACCACCTTCCAAACAAGGAAAACAAGGTTTGTACCAAAAACAAACCAAAATGGATGCAAGATGAAAGATCGGGAGGCAAAGCACACGGCCGAAAGCCTCGAAAACTAGTCTACGGGCATCAAAAGTGGTATGCAACCACAAAAGTGGTCTCCCGGACCACAGTGTTCCTCTAGGCAGAGGCAACAAGGTGTGGTTCAAAAACTACGCCAAACGGAGAACGTTAAGCGGTCCTGAGACGAGGCGCACGGCCAAAGGCTCCAAAAACTGAAAACTAGTCTCTAAACGGGAAAAGTGGCCTACGACCACAAAGAGATGGTCTACAAGACCTCTCCTTCCCTCCGGGAAGAGAAAACAAGATTCGGTTCACAAACCGAGCCAAAGCACAAAAAGTTCAGAGACCCCGAGGCAAGGCTCTCAGCCAAAACTCTAGAGACTCGAAACGAGCACAACATGCACCATCACCGAGCGCTCAATCGATGACGTCTGAGTCTTAAGGTCAGTCAAAAATGGGGTGTCTACACTTAATCAACTCTAATTCGGACCCACTTAATAAAATCTCAATTTTACTAAACTGAATCGAATATTTAATTAAACTCTCATATGGTCCGATACTCGAAATTAAAATAATTCAATTCACCAATTATAATCTCTTGAGCCATTTAGGCTTTCAATTTCTAATTCCAAAATAAATTATCAATAGAATCATATATGAATCAGTCTCCACACTTTTCATAAATCTCAAATTAAATTAGAATAATAAGCAATTAAAATTTAAATCTCCTTAATTAATTAAATGCTAGTTATTATACGCGGTGGGGTTGTCACAGTTTTGAATACGATTGCGAATATGCACGTGATCATGGATCTGAATGTGCACACGAATGTGAATATGAGCTGTTGGACTCAAAATCGTTTTGTATATGAATTGGACCCGAGGTCGTTTCATATATGGATATGAAATATTGGACCTGAGGTCGTTTTGCTTTGATATTTGTCAGCAAGTATGGTTTTTGGATTTTGATTTAATAAATCTCATTCAAGAACCCCTTTACTTTGGTATTATTCACTGGGCGTAACTTACTCATTATTTATATGTATGTAGGTGAGCAGCGGGATGTCCAGCTCCATCCCCAGTGATGTGTGAGAAAACCGTGTTTTGAGAAGTCAACCAAGGTCGCCTCACGCAAGAGGCCTTTCTTTTGATTTGTTTTCCTTTTGTTTTGTTTTGTGGTCATATGTGACCAAGTTCGTATATTACCTTGGTTTTTGTTAAGACTAACTTTGGAATGATTGTGGACATATATATATATATATACACTCTGGATGTTTGTATGGTCTGAGTTATTACATATATTAAGAAAAGTTTTGTTAACCCATGTATGCACAGCTCATTGGACAATCTTTGCAAGTTTTGCTTCCGCGTTTTAGCCCCTTATTATTAACTATGACTTGATTTTTCTCCAAGGTCATAGGTAATTCTATGATTACTGGTCGGTTATGATCTTAATCCATAGGGGTGGGTTCGGGTCATGACATCTTCACCTATCACACGTTGTAGAGGGTGGTTTTCAGTTTTGATGGAGCGAGCTGCTGGTGGTGGTAGCGGTACGGCGGTGGCAAAGCTCGCGGTGGTGGATTCATGTTGCGTGGTAAAGATATGGTCAAGTGATAATGGTTGTTTGATGAAGTTGATGAGGAAATGAAGAGTAATGGTGGTGAGCTCAATGATGGAGGGTGGCGGTGATGATGGAGCTAGTGGCTTGGTGGTTCGAGTGGTGATGGTGTGGGTTAAGGAAGTGAAAGCCAGAAGAATGAGGAAAAACAGACATAAAGAGAAACAAAGAGAGCTTTGAGAATGAGAGATGAAGAGAAAGAGGCAGAACTAAGAGAGAGGGAGAGAATGAGAGAGTGAGCAGTAGGGAGAGTTGGTGAGGGTAGGAGATATGTATGCATATATAGATATAAATGTATATATAATTATAGATAAATAGATAGATATAAGGAGAGGGTTAGAGAGTAGAGAGGTGAGGAAGGAGTATGGGAGAGAGGAGAGGCATTGGGCTCCATGCATGCTTGGGAAACAAGTTGGGGTTTTAGGTACAACGTAATATGGTCAAGTGATTATGTTTCAACGTAATTTGGTCTACGAAAAATATAGACAAAAATATAATAAAAATATCAGAAGGTTCATAAAATAATATCGAGTAATAATATGCAATTAAAAATATTTTTTTGTATAAATTTTTAGTATAAAAATATATAGATTATTAAATTCAAAATGATCTGAATAATTATACCAAAATTTTAAAAAATATTTTATTTTTATTTTATAAAAATATGAGATTTCACATAATTTTACCTTCCACGCTAATAATAAAGATCCAAAAAGTCACAACAGGTGGTATCATGATAAATGATTTTGGTTGGTTCGTAAATTTGATAAATGAAATGAAAAGAATATGTACATAGAATTAATTTTCTTTTATTGATTGTCATGTAAATAGAAAAAGGAAATAAAACATGATAATAACAAAAAAATTAAAAATACTGTTATTTACCATTTTCCTTATATTTTTCCTGATTTCTTATTATTTCTTAAGAATTTTTTGTTTTCTTTCACTTAATAAACTAGAGAAAAATATAAAGGAAAATAGTGTTCCTTATTCCAATCATTTTCAAGAACTAATCCAAGAAAATATGGATTTCCACAAGTAAATTCCTTTCCAAAGTTGTCTAGGAGATGGCACTTTCAAGCTTCATTTTTTTTTCTTTTTCTTTTTTCTTTTTTTTTTCATCAGTCAAAAATCTCAAAACTCATACTACACTGAAAACATCAATGAGATGAGTAAGTCGAAATCTCAATGAGTTTTATGAGTAAAAGATATATTTGAAAATTTTCTTTTACCTTTAAGAATGACATAAAAATGTACAAAATGAGACAGATATTGAGGAATATTATATATTTCAGTTTCTAGGTGATATATATCCTTATATATATATATATATAATTTAAACCCTGAACTTTTTATTTGTTTTTAATCTTAAACATTTGCCTAGTTCATGTTAAATAAAATTGATGGAAGTATTTCAGTCATAAAACTCACTAAAAATGATATTTTAGACATTTTATATATAATTACATTGAATTTAATGACTAAAATACTATTTTTCTATCAATTTTACATAACACAAATAAATAAATTGTTTAGATTGAAATCAAATTAAAATATTAGGATTTAATTTGACAAAATTAAAAACTCAAAATTTATTTTGTTACAAGACTAGAACTTTAGGATTTTTTTATAATTAACCCAACGTTTCTTTAGATTCTATTTGGTTTAGTTTTGAAATTATAATTTGAGTATGGAGTTGACTATGAAATTGTAAGTTGAGTTTTGAAAATAGAAAATTTGTTTGGTTATAAATTTTGAAAAAAGTTTTAAAAAGTGTTTTGAAAAGAGTTTTGAGTTTTTGAATTTTGAATTGTATTTTGAAATTTTTTGAATTTATTTTTTAAAATATTAAAAAATGTTTAAGAAACTTTTATTTTTTATTTTAAATATATAATTTTTATTTGTTTTTTTTAGTGAATATTTTTTAAATTTTAAACAATTTTTTTACTTTTTTAGATACACCTTACTTAGATGTATCTAAATAGTAAAATATTTATGAAAACATATTTTAAAAAATTAATAAATATACAAAAATACGAAAAAATTATTGAATTTTCTTCTTCTTCTTTTGTATTTTTGGTATTTAATGAATTTTTTAAAGATTATTTTCACAAATATTATACTTTTTAAGTGTATTTATGTTAAGTGTGCCTAAAAATTTTAAAAAAAAATTATTTAAAATATTTTTTAAAAAAATACAACATAAAATGTATAAAATATAGTGCACACTAAAATAAATAAATCAATATTTAAAAATACAAAATATTTACCCTAAAAAAATAAAATTAAGAAAAATTTTAAATATTTAAAAAAATAAATCCAAAAAATTTTACAATATAACTCAAAACTCTTTTCAAAACTCATAACCAAACAAATTCTCTTTTCAAAACTGAACTCAAAACTCATAACTCAAAATACAACTTCACATTCAAATTATGATTCTAAAAATAATTTTAAAAAATAAAATAAAATAATATTTTTTTGAATTTATTTTTTGAAATAAAATTTTGAAAAAAAGTTTGGTTTTGAATTTTGAATTGAGTTTTAAATTATGTATTTTGTTATAAATTTTAAAAATAATTTTTGAAATAAGTTTTGAATTTTGTATTTGATAAGCCTTGTTTGTCATATCTTTAAAAAGTTAAAAAGTCAAAAAATCACTATCATATTTAAGTCACATCATTTTATTTAAATCGCATCACCTTTTTATTACATCACTTTAAATTCAACCTATACCACACTCATATTTCATAAAAAGTTAAAAAATACACTTATTTAAATTATTTCAAATCACCCATAAATTTTGAAAAGAGGATTGAAAATTTTATATTGAAATTATAATTCTAAAAAGAAACAATCGCAGGCTTAGTGTTTCCTAAAAACTGAGTAGTTATGGAAAGAAAATTGTCTAAAAATTAAATTGTCAAACAAGTTTATGGAAAAGGAAAGCATAATGTTAGGATGATTAGACACTGCTTATCAGAAGAGCAGCTCAAACCTAATATTTTGAAATTCCACTGGCACAAAGTCTCTTAAAATAAAATTATGACATATCATCAACCAAAGTGTCTCCAGCCCATTACTTTTAAGAGAAATTATTCAATAATTCTGAAATATTATATGATTATACTTCAAATTAATTACCAATTACTTAGTACTATGTTATTCCCTCATCCCCAACATAAATCGTGAGTCCCTACCCTTCTTTACCAATCAAAACTTTATAAAACACCACGAATTCATACTCCGAAAATACTGAATGATCACCCCATTTTCAACTAGCAACATTCAAGGAAAAACATCTCAGCTCGAGGATGCATCATAAACTAATTGAACATCTACAAAGGAACCACCACACCATCCAAGGACTTCCTAAGGAACAAAAAAACATCAACATGAGAAAGTTTGAATAAGTCAAAAAGAAAGGCTAGAAAGCTTTACAAAAAATTTCCTCCCGCTCTTTCACTGTGATTTGATGAGATCAAGGCCCTCGGAAACTGTCCTCATCCTAGGCCGAACCTCGGGATCCTGTTCTGTGCAATTCAGTGCAACATGAAATGCTGCAACAACTTGTTTCTTGGCATGGACCTCATGCAGAAGCACTGGGTCTATAATTTCAGACAAGGGTCTTTCTTCTTGAAACACCTTCCTCACAAGGTTCTCTAGTGCTGCACCATCATTTTCTGGCAACTGCCCTGTTAAAATCTCCAATAGCACAATTCCAAAAGAGTAGACGTCACATTTCTGCGTGAATCTGCTTTCTGAAACTCGAGCCTCAGGAGCCACGTACATTATGGATGAAGAATCTGAATTTTTGGGGCTTACTGTAATTTGGTTTAAGCTCTGCTTCTTAAAGGCCACATTGGTGGATTTAGAAGAGTTACCTGAAACAAGACGTGTGAGTCCAAAACCAGAAATGTAAGGCCGGAGATCATCATCAAGAAGGATTTTTGATGATTTTATGTTCCCATGAACGTGTTTCTTAGGGCTGCACTCGTGAATGTGCACAAGGCCCTTTGCAATGCCTTGAGCAATGTTCAGCCTTGCGGCCCATGATAATGGTGGCAACGAATTGGCCGGTCCTCCTTCAATTTTCAAAAAACCAAACAATTGGTCAGTGCTTTTACTGAAAATTCAGCTTTGAAAATTATATGGAAGCTGTCATGCAATGTTAAAATGAAGAGTAAATTGCAAATGCACCCCCTAAGATTTGCTTAAAATACAAATTATCTCTTGTGATTCTGAAAATTACATCATGCCCCTTAAATTACAAGAGGAAACAGTAGCAATGGACAGGACAATTGCGTTAAATACAAATTATGGAATTAATATGCAGATGTGTCCTTTATGCTGTTTGGATATTAGATTTGTTGAGAGAGAGAGAGAGATTAAAAAATAAAAAATAAAAATGAAGCAAAAAAAAGGGTAATTTTTTTCTTTAAATATATTTATTTGAATTATGTTGCTCAAAAAATGAATATGTATAAGTAGTTTCCTTTCACTCCACAAATCCAAAATTTGAACATGGCATTAATGAAATGAATAGATACATTAAATATAAATGGCTCAGATCTGAAAGAAAAGACAACTGAGAGTAAAACGCCACAGGTATACCAGAACTAATTAAATATTGAGTTGGTAAGGAATAAAAAACACTCCGAAGGAGCTGCAATCTACCAGTTTGCAAGCACCAACATCCCCAAGAACCAAAATACGTGCTGCATTTTCTCAACACACAACAATAAAAAGAAATAACAAATATAGGGAGGGTTTCTGTTATCTTTATATGGAAAAGATTAATTTTAATTTATGAAATGTACATATGAAAGAGGCCTAGTGAGCAAGAACTCTTTTTGGTAAAGTTTAAGAAGGCTTGTCAAGGAAGGCTATTTGAACATGATACGGCATCAAGACAGATCAGAAAAAGACAACCGAAGACGAAACCACAACCATATAGGCCCTCAAGAATTGTGAATGAGTAGTTTTTCTTACTCAGCTTGTAGTATGATAGAAATTTATCACTTTTCAGTAAAAAAGATAGTCCTGAACACTAAACAGCAAGGAGTCAAAGACACAGAAAGTGACGTGAACATTCACATATACTGATACCAACATCAAAAAATTAAACCTTTCTACAATCTCGGTGGCTTGGCTTGCTACCCACAATCAACTTAATTAGAGCACGCAGCGACTGATCTCTGGATGCAGTTCATAAAGACACAAACCTTTATGTTGTAGGCTAAAAGTCCAAAACTTGTAACCATGACATAAGAAAACAAATACATAAGTAAAAAGGATGAACTGGTAAAATCTTAACATTAACATGGGCTAATTTTTGCTATTACTAACCAGTAAATTACAGAAAAATAATGCAATTCTTTATGTTCTCACCTGAAGTTTATTTTCCTAGAATGATTGCCCATCATCAGTCAAAGACACAGAGATGAAACAACACTCCCTCTACTATTTTTTTCTCCCTATAAAATCTTGATAATATTGACATAAATGTGGGAATAGGGGTAAAGGATCAGATGGCATGAAAAAGTGAAAAAGCAATCTATTTTACTAACACGGAAATACCATAACATGATGGTCTTGGCACCTGCACGGAGAAAAACAAAAGGAGAACATGGTTCACTACTATGTGCAGCATACCGCATATGGGACTGAATAATTTTCTGGGGGAAAAGGCAAAACAATAATTTAAGCTACCGATAGCTGTATCAGTGGAGATGTGGACTCATTGTGTCTGAATTTTAGATTTGTAGAAGGAAAAGAAACAAGAAATAAAAGCTAAATTTTGTTTTGTTTTTCTTTTTCCTCCACAAAACAGTCCACGAGAAATTCAAACACAATGCACAACTAAAATGAAAACTCAAAGACTGAGCCAACCAAACCTCCATGAGTTGATTCAATCAAATTTCAGTCATCCGCTAGCATTGTTAGGCTTAAATGGTTCGGCTTTTTTTAAATGCACTGCAGGACATGTCAAATCAGTTCAATTTTGAGTTCTGAATCCATAAAGAGCATAACTTCAGAAACCCAACCCAAAAAAAAACAAAACCTTAAATTACAGGCTGCTTAAGCTATCTCCAATCCTTCATCAAATCTGTCATCAAATTCAAATTTAATAAAAAATGCCTAAAACGCGAGCTCCAACCCTTTTATAAAACTGATATCAAATAGAAGGAGAGTTACTATTTTAATCAAATCAAGGAAACTTTATTCTTTTATCAAATTTGTAAGTGACGCTGGACGTCCTTCCGAACAATCGCTGTTGGGATGAATTTGATAAAAATTTACTCTAGACTGAACGACCGGTCGAACAACCATCCAGATTTGATAAAAATTTGATTAGGCATTAGAGATGTTCTTACTAAACTGGTAAAAAAAGACATCACTCTTTGATAAACATCCGCTAGTCAAAAACTATCAGATCTTTTATGTTGCATTTACAGGCCCTATAACCATGCAAATTATGCCCCAAAAAGCTTTGTCTGGCCCCCATTAGCCTCTCTAGCTCCATCCCTCCCTCTCTCATATGTATACTAGAAGAAAATGGCATAACTTTTACTTTCTGAGTCATACTTAAAACAAAATATATACATTATGAGACGTAATCAAAAAATTAATGAATCATAACAAAAATAATGTCATAATTAAAAAGAAAATCAGTTATACCTTAAAAAAAAAAATGACATAACTAGTAGGGATTCATATGGTACACTCCTTTCAAGAGTGTGTATATTAAAATTTCTCATGTATAAATATAAGGAAATACTAAGGATGTGCACCATATACACCTTATAATAAAAAGAAAAATGACATAACTTCAATTTTCTGACTCAACTAAAAAACATAAAAAACGGCTGTGATTGAGACCCTCAATCACCAACCCCCCACCCCACACACACGTAACGGGTGATGATTGGAGGAGAAGGAAAAAGAAAAAGAAAAAGAAAAATTGGCCAATCAAGAAAGAGAGGGGGTCAAAAGAGGTAGGGAGAAAGGGAGTCTTAATCATTTTTTCAATAAAAAAAATAACATAACACTCTTTTTAAAGAGATATATATTAGAATTTCTCATAAATATATATGACTAATTTTTGAATTTCTACCATCCAAAACTGACATAATAATTATCACTAAAATCCAGTCTCCAACTAATTTTTCCATTTACAAAACAACAAAAACAGACATTTATCAACCATTATTGACAATAAACCAAATAAAAACTAATCATAATTAATAACCATTACAATACAGAGATAGCTAAAAGAAAATCAGGAAAAGGGATGGTTACCATGAAGTGCGGTGTACAAGCTTCCGTTGCGGACGAAATCTGAAACCAGCAGTTTCTCATCATTAGCATAGTAATAAGCTCTCAACCGCACGATGTTGTGATGCTGGACCCTCCCGATGGCCTCCACCTCATACTCAAACTCCTTGAACCGCCACGTGGAGTCCCCCTCGCTCAAGCGCCTCACCGCAACCACTGCACCCGCCGCACCCGATCCCCTCCCCACCACCACCTTGTATACGATCCCACTCCGACTCTTCCCCACCACGTACGCCGATGCCGTCAACAAATCCTCTAATTCCAACCCAAAGCCTTCGTCCACCACCACGAATTTACCCTTTTGCCCCTCCTCACTCACCTCCTTTTCCTTCTCCAACTTTTCCTTCCCCATTTTGCCCTCGTCGGACCTCCACTTTTTCCGAAACGCCCACGCCGACACAAACACCGCTCCGATAACCACCGAAACTCCTGATATTATCCGTACGGTCGCTGACCCAGATTTCGCTTTATCTTTCTCTACAAACCCATCTTGAGAATTAGGTTTTATAGGGTGTTCAGGGTTTGAAAAGATTCTAGCGTTTTGAGCTTCTGGTTCTGGGCACGGCGTCTGCAATGGAAACCCACAGAGATTAGGGTTTCCGGAGAATGCTGTGGGGCCCTGATTCAGCAGGGACCCCACCTGGGGAATCTTCCCGGTGAGGTTGTTGTGCCGGAAATCCAAGCTCACCATCACAGGAAACCGTCCGTACGATGCCGGGACCTCGCCGGAGAACTGGTTAGAGGACAAATTTAGGGTTCCGGCGAGGTGGGTCAGATTGGTGAGACATTCCGGCAAAGACCCATTGAGGAGATTGGAGGATAGGTCCAAGTGAGTCAGGGTTTGAAGGGTGGAAATTTGAGGAGGGATGGGTCCGGAGAGAGAGTTGTGAGAGAGGTCTAGAGAGAGAAGAGTGGTGGCATTGAAGAGGTGGGCGGGGATGGGTTTGGAGAAGTTGTTGTGAGAGAGAGAGAGGTGACGGAGAGAGAGAAGGGCACCGAGTTCGGAGGGTAGGTAGCCAGTGAAGCCCTTGTTGGGAAGAGAAATGGCGGTGACTCGGTGGTCGTGATCGCAGGCGATTCCGATCCAATGGCAGGGGGTGGGGTCCGACACGGACCAGGAGGTGAGGGCGAGAGTTGGGTCGGTGGTAATGGCGGCTTTGAGGGCGAGGAGAGAGAAGCCATCGGAGTTGAGAGAAGAAGAGAGACAAGGGAAGAATGTAAAGAACCACACCAAAACCAGAGCAATAGAGTTCATGGTTTTCAAAATGTGGAGAGCTTAGATAGTGATCATTGTCATTGCAACGAGGAGTTGCAGAGTGAGAGAGAGAGAGAGAGAGTGAAGTGGAGAAGACGACCAAGGTTGTAATTTTGAACTCGGCTGGGTTGATTTCGAGGTGGCAGAGTAACATGCCTACGCAGTTTTGAATTTTTCTTTGATCCATGGGTTCATTTTTAAATTTACAAATTTACAGGTGCAGATTGAATGTCTTTTTTTTTTTTTTTTTGATTTTTTAAAATTTTAATAAAAATTTTAAACTTTGAGGGTTTTTTTTTCCAAAAAAAAAAAAAAAACTAGAAACCCAACATTAAAAATAAATCAATTAATCAAATTTGCAAAAGAAAAAAAAAATCACTATGAGTATAAAAAAATTTATAAAAAAAAAACAAATTTAATTTATTGGGTCTTTCATAAATAATTTTAAATTTGATTTTTTTATTTTTAAGACATTCTAGTATATTTTTTATTTTATTTTTTAATAAAGTATACAAAGTACTTCAAATAAATAAATATTTAAAAATTCAATAAAAGGATATATTAAAAAATATTTGGTAAATTGTATTCTGTTAACCATTTTCACAAGTTTTACTCAACAAAATAGGAGTTCAAGATGTATATATATTTTAAGTTTGATTTCTCTCATATTCACATTTCAACATAAAAGAATTTGAGAAGTATGTAAAATTCATTATAACTCCTGTTTCGATTATCTAAACTGTTATTTTATAAACCCTGGATGTATAATATTCATAAAAAAATAAATAAAATTAGTTCAATCCGATAATTGTAATATTTTCATTTTATAGCATCTGTCTCCAAAAAAATATATATGACAATTACATTTTTGAAAATTGATCATCTATTTTTTACAGACAAACATAAGTGTGGGGAAGTGGTTTGGAAATACTCCTTGGATCCAATGGGACGCTCGTGATCCTTAGCTAAAAACCTGAAAAGGAATGAACACTCCGGTCGGGGGTGCCGGAATTAGCAGTCCGACGGACAAGTCAGTATCTGCTCTCTTTGTTACTTGTATCTTAAGTAAAATGTATTAATTCTCACATACCTCTCTTTGATTGTTATTCTTCTATTTATATACGCTCTTGGTCCTCAGGGTAGGGCTCACTCTTGACCCGTCATGTGATTGTTAACTCAACCCCCCTCTTTTGCCGTATTCCAACTTTCAATCGGCCCCTCGCTCCACTGACCTTTATAGCCGATTAAGATATTCGACATCCAGAATGTACGAGACGGGAGCGAGCATAATATATACCGATTAGCCAAATGTGTACTCGGCCTATCTGCGTCTCCTATTATTCGGCTCCCATAATTGCCCCCCAAACTCCCCACTAACACTGTTTAGTCGACGTGTTTGGTTTCGAGCTTGAAAAGTCAAAAATTTGATCGTTAACCTCATTCCAAAGCGTGTCAAAGCGCGCACGTTTCCTGGTCATCATTACAAGTTCCCGCCTCTTCGTACACTTCCTTCATTTAATGTGGTTTAAACTTTTGTCTCTTTGAATGTATATTTTGAATACTCGAAGTTTTTGGCTCGCCTTCTAGTACAACTCCTCCACTTCGCGACCTCTGCAACTTCCTCCTGTCTCTCATTATCCCTTCTACTTCCTGTAAGTTCTTTTCTCTTTCACTCCCAATACCATTTCCTTGTTTACTTTTAGTTTTGCATAATCCTTAGGTTTCCGATGTCATTATTCCATCCCCGATGACATCCATCTGTCACTCGTGGCAGACAACACCACCGATATGGAGAGAACCGATGAGAGAACAATCATCTTTTCTCTCCTATCGATTGTTGAGGGCGGAGTTTGTTTTCCCCTTCATCTATTTTTAAGGGTCGTCCTTCGATATTAAGGCCTAATTCCTTCCCAGCCTAACGTGAATTTTTTCCGCATCATAATGGGGATTATAGAGTTAAACCGTCGTCTTAGGATTAACCTAGGCATACCTGCAATTCGGCATTGCTATGCCTTAGCCAAGTTTACTGGCCGGCTAGGACGCTATTTTCTTGGGGCCAAGGACACCGACTATTATTTAGTGACTATGCTTGCCAGCTTTGGCAAGCTTGTTGACGACGTGATGGTCGTTGTTCAAGGCAACTGGAAATTCGACGAGGGTGAAGATCGTCTAGATCCCGTGCCAAGGCGAAAAGGCGATCCAAGTGGCCGTATAGCTCACTCTAGTTGCTTCTACTTCCGTATATGTATTCAGCTCTCCTTCCATGTACTTACCGTTTTGTTTATGCAGGCAACGATTTGAAGAAAGTGTTGGTTTCGGCCAACGACGCGATACTTGCGGAAATTAAAATCGCTCTGAAGTTCGTTGGCCGTCCCAATCTTTAGAAACAAGGAAGTGCGGCTCATATTCTCTTGCGATACGCACCAACCTGCACAACATTTTCGGCTGCATACCATATTCCAATTCCGAGAGGTGAAGATCATCTTACAGCCCTTATCTTCCCCAGCTTCAAAAGCCTGAAAGAGATTGGTTTAGAAGCCTCTGATTCGGAACACGTGGAAGAATAAGTGCCGATCAGATCGCCGAGGACCCGAATCAATTGGAAGCCGAGGTAGACGAAGCCCTTAACTTGGCGTTTGAGGAAACTGGGCTGAACTTGTCCGACCCTCCATCCACATCAGCCTGAGGGGACGTCTTCTTTGAAGACATTTTTACGAACTTAGGAGAACTTCCCGGCACTTACCCCGAGGATATGGCTGGAGAATCACTCTCACAACTTGCGCGGAAGAAAAATGCCGAGAGGATGGCCGCTAGGCAGAGATTCGAGGCCGTGCGATCTGAAACTCCATCTGCCACGGTCTCTGAGTCTACTCCACCTGTTATTGCGGAAAAAATGGCTCGGCTCGAAATGGCCGAGATGGAGCAGGTGAAGCGGGCTGACGAGGTTGAGCAAAGAGGAGAAAAGCGCCTCGCCGAACAAGAGGCCGTGCACGACGAGGACCAAAGCAATAAGCGGCCGCGCGTTGAGGAATCGGACTTGGTTTTTCTATTCACGATTCAACCAAGGATAAGAAATATACCGATTGCCTCTGATTCGTCTATTCACGATTCAACCAAGGATAAGAAATATACCGATTGCCTCTGATTCGTCGGCCTTGAGGGACCCTGTTGTGGCCTTAAGCATGGCCTCCTCAATATCCCTACCGGTCGATAGAGCCGTGTTTCACGCAGAGCCAGATTTAATGCTAATTGCTTTGGCCGCTCAATCGGCCTTATCGGTACGTTACCTGTCTTATATGCAGTCTTCCGTCTAAATACATATGTATTTATAAACATTTTTGTTATTATTTGTTTGCTGTAACTCTATTTCCTTGTTTCGTAGACGGTGGGTAGGATAGTCGAGATCAGTCACCGTCAACATGATGCCATAGAACAGATCGGCCTCTTGAAAGCCGAAATTGATAATGAAAACAACAAGGTTGTAGTGACCTCTCAAAGGGCCAATTATGAGGCAGCGCAGGCGGCGGAGGAACGAGCGAGAACCGACTCTGAGACCGAGCGAGCTAGAAATTCTGATCAATTAAGGCTTGCCACCGAGGAAAAGGCAAAGGCAAGCGAGGATGCGCTTAAGTTAGCTCAGGAGGAAATCGCCAAGCTGGAAGCCGACTTAGAAGAATCGAAGAAGGCAAAGGAAGTAGTCGACTCGGAGACTTCCAAAGCGTTCGAAGCTGGGAAGGAGGCCGCCTTGGAAAACTACGTAGAAGAAGTGTCGAAGTTCAAGAATCGAGGCTTCAAACACGGCCGTGTCAAAGTCCTCGTTGCTGCGATTGTGACATTGGCACAGACGATTCCATACGAGCAGGTGGACATTGAGCCACTGGCGTCTAACCCTGAGGATGTTTAAGGCATATTTTCATTTTTGATAGGTATCTTAGATGCACAATTTTTGTAGGTTTTTGTTAGTAGATTTTCATCTCTTAGGATATAAGCCGATTTTCATGTGTAAAATGGCTGCTATTAGCGCCCAATTTATTAATGAAAATTTTCTATGCTCTCGAATTTATTGCATATACTGTTTGTGTTTTTAGTTCATTGATGACAATTCCTTATGGTCTTCTGTTTGTTCTACAAGTAAATAATTAAAAGAATCAGTGTAGACGTCCCCGAACGCCCCGGGAGGGTAAGCTCCCATTCCGTTCATTTGGGGTCACTACAGCTCGGACTCGATTTGTGTCGCGGTTCTTAATCTTGAACCAAAGAGTCCAAATCTGGCAAATCGTTTTGAGAAAAAGATTTTTGGAAAGAAGTGCCAAACATGGACTGCTTTGCCAGATACAGAGTCGCCACCGAAATATTTTTTTATGGGGGAATTTAGGAAACCCTGACTCGGTGCCGAAGGCCACATGTCCGTCATCACCGGAGTTGTCTCGGCTCGGGAGCTAGGGTACGATTGGGGAAGGTTAGCTATGAGCACCCCCTCTCGCCCGATCCGAAGATCGGCCTCTACTAACTGTGATATCCGTTTTTGAAAACATTATGTGTTCTTAAACCATTTATTAGCCTAGAATTACTATGTTATGCGCACAGCAAACAAGTATAGACTAGATTGCCTATTTTGGAAACAAGCATTGCATATCCGTTTGTTCTGAAAAGCGCTTTGGAATGTGCTCCTCTGAAGACTGCCAAAGTCTCAAGGATGCCTCTCTGGATACTGGGAATCACCACCGGCTGAGTAGAATTAACGGATTTCAACGAGTTTTTCCAACTCAAACAATCCAACCTTCACCCACAGGCATTCAAACAGTTTATAACACATAAGCATCTAGCCACATGGTAAGTATGCTATCATAGCAACACTCACACGCATGCAAGGATGCTAAAGCATAAATACTTACATCGTGCTCCTTGCCAAAACAAAAACTAGTTAATAATCACATGCATGATCCTAGTTCATGTTAGAAAATGGCTAGTGCAACACATGCAAAGATGCAATCTAGACAAGCTCGGCTATTCTAAGATGGCATATGATGATGATACAATTAGCACGTATTCAACTTGGAATTGAAGTACAAATGCAGTTAGAATGATGCGCCGAGGCCGGTGCATGCAAGACAAATGTATGAATGCACGTATGCATAGCATAAGGTATGCTAATTTAAATATGCCCTA